ATGTATATAAATAAAATAGCTGAAGCTCAGGAAATAGCTCTTACAACAATAAACTCCAAACCAAACTGAACGAGCAGAAGCACAGAACTGGTTCTTATGTGAATGGCACAGGCGACAACTGGGGAAGGAAAATGTCTGCTCACGGTGCTGGCGATGATGGTGCAGGTTAGGTCTTTGAGCAGGGAGGTGAAACCCCGTGTGCAGGTGAAGCCGCTTCTTCCCACCCCCATCCCACTGCTACTGATGCATGGGTCTCAGAGTACAAGCTTGCCTCCTTGGGACAGTGATGGCCCATGGACCCCGAATGACCCCAGTGACAGAGGACACCCTTGGTGACACAGAACATTCTCCCTTTGCTAGAACACCTGCCTCTGCAAGGCTCTACTCCGGAAAGGATAAATCCAACACCAGCATGAAGCGTGGTCACCAACATCATTCTCAAGCAGATGCTTCTAGACTGCCCTCAACACAAAGGCACACAGCACACACACCTTGGGCTCCTCCATCACACGGCAGAGACCCAGGAGTCCTCGGCCCCCATGAGGTAAGGCGCAGCCCAGTCTGATCGGCTTGCACACTAGGGAGATGGGGGTCGCCTTCTGCAATAATAACGCTGCACAGCATTTATTAAATGCCTACAGTGTGCAACGCCCGGGTGCTGGTCGACAAAGGGCTCGTTCTGATTTCTAGTTCCCCCATCAAAGAGGACAAAAGTCTGGTGTCACGAGGATATGGCAAAGCTCCAATAAGATAATGAAGGTGAAATAATCTTAAAGTACACACACCTGATATACAAAAGGTTTAGGTCTAGGGCATATCCCCACCCCTGCCCTGGGGCTGGTGGGTCACAGGGCTGATCGCCCCTCCTTCTTATACTTGTCTAGGGTGGCCTGTCTCTAGGGTGGCATGACCTCCCTTAAATACCAGGGCAGGGCAGCAGGCATGGCTCTGAGATGCACAATTAACAGTAACAACAGGGTAGGAGAAATAACTGTGGCAGCAGCAGCCCACTGCCAGGCACTCCTTGTGGGTAGCTACTGCATTCCAAGCTTCTGCATATCGGACACAACCTTGTAAGTGCTAGGTTGTGACCCTTGGCTAGGGACCAGGTGTGACTGGCACAAGGGCAAAGGAGTGCAGAAATAAATTCTCACATTTATGGTCAACTGATTTTTGACAAAGGTGCAAAGGCAATTTGATGGGAAAAGAATATTCTTTTCAACAAATAATGTTGAAATAACTGAATAGCCATATGCAAAAAAATGACCTTAGATCTTTATTTCAACCATACATGAAAAACATTGACTCCAAATGAATCACAGACCTAAATGTATGATCCGAAAAACGATACAACTTCTAAGGAAAAAAAAGGACAAAATCTTTGCGACCTCGAGCTAGGCAAAGATCTCTTCGATATAATTCCAAAAACATTAATCATTTTAAAAAGTTGATAAATTGAACTTCACCAAGATTTAAAACTTATGTTCCTCAAAAGACACCATTAAGAAAATGAAAAGACAAGCCACGAACAGGGAGAAAATATTTGCAAATCACAGAGCTGAATAAGAAATTGTATCATCGTATCTAAAATACATAACTCAATAAAAAGACAATCCAATTTTTAAAAACCGAATAAAAGACTAAGACAGACCTTTCACACACAGATATACTAATGGCTAAAACACACACGAAAAAATGCTCAACATCATCAGTCATCAGAGAAATGCAAATCAAAGCCACAATGATACCACTTCACACCCACTAGGATGGCTATAATTCAAAAGGGAGACAATAACAAGTGTTGACAAGAATGTGAAGAAACTGGAACCCTCATACACTGCTGATGGGAATAAATGTAAAGTGGAGCAGACACTATAGAAAACAGTCTGACAGTTCCTCAAAAGGTTAAACAGTAGAGTTATCCTGATTCAGCAATTCCACTCCCAGGTATCTACCCAAAAGAAATGAACAGGGCCCCACAAATGTTCAGAGCAGCTTTATTCATTAACAGCCAAAAAGAAGAAACAACCCAAATGTTCATTAATTGAAGAGATAAAATGTACTATACCTGTACAATAAAGTACACACACATTACAATATGGATAAAGCTCAAAAACATTACGCTAAGAGGCCAGACACAAAAAAGACTAAATGTATGATTCTATTTACGTGAAAAGTCCAGAAAAGGCAAGTTTTAAAGACAGACAGCATATTAGTGATAGGGTGGGGATAAGGGCTGACTACAAAGAGGTACGAGAAAACTTTGAGGGTGATGGAAATGTCCAAAACTGACTGTGGTGATGTTTGTACAATTCCATAAATTTACTAAAAAAAAATTACCAAACCCTATGTTTACAACAGATGAGCTATATGGCACACAAATTATACCTCAATAAAGTTACTGAAAGTAAAATAAATATAATGAAAACAAAGCAAATGCTATTAAACTCAACTTAAGTACCATTCCAGTGCATGCTGAAAGTCTCGAAGTGAAAGAAAATTGGACAAGAGATCTCAAAAGTTCTCACCACACACACACACACACACGCACGCACGCACGCCGAAAGAAAATTGGACAAGAGATCTCAAAATTTCTCACCACACACACACCCACACACACACACGCACGCACGCACGCACACGTACACAAACTGTGAGGTGATGGATGTGTTACCTAATCTTATTGTGGTGATCATTTCCCAATATATACATGTATCAAATCATTACACTATAGACCTTAAACTTACACAATATTATGTGTCAACTGTATCTCAAGCTGAAGGGAAAATTGGACAGTGTTAGGTGTTAATAAAACATTAGCATCTAAGGATTCTTTCTCCTTGATATAATCAACAAAACTGACAGAGACCTAAAAAGATAACTTTCTCATAAAAACAACTGAATGGTCCATGGGGGCACCCCTAAAATCGTCTCAAACTCCCCTGTGGTCCCCAGTCCCCCGCTGGACAACCAATACAATTTTTAAAACTGCTAAGGTCCCTTCTGCCTCCAGCTGATCCTCTCTCAGCAAGGCGGCCCAAGGGACAAGGAAGCAGAAAGGACAACCTTTGGACTGGACAAGCCCAAACACTGCTGTTGCTGGCAGCAAAACCCAGGTGGCCCTTGGCATTCACCTGGGTGCCAGCTCCAATCGATTAGTCGTGGCTGACTGGGGTGTTCGTTGGTGGATTCTGAAACCAAGTCCAGGCTCAGTGGGAA